CTGCTTTACTTGAGCCTGGATCTTTCACAAAGAAGTAGCATATAAAAATTCAGACTGATCCTTTTGTGGAGGAGATGTCTTATATCCTTTTTTACTCCATGTGGAATTTGTTTTATGGAGATGATCATGTTAACTTCGGTTGCATATCTCCATGGTGATTTCTGAGAAATATGGTTGAGTGCAAATGTATATTTATATGGAAACGGTGTCTTTCAGTATCAAAACCAGGTGAAACTGCATTGAATTCCATAGTCTCTAATTCACCCCATCTTTGTGTCCATCTCTACTTTTTATCTCATGCACAGAGCGAGAGAGAGGTGTGTAATTCTTGTTCTCAAAACTCTTTGAAGACTAGGAGTGGAGTGATACTATATGGCCTCTTAATGTTAAATAATTTTGAGACAATGACTTTGGAAATACTGACTTCGTTATAATGCAGATTTTTTTTTCTGAAGATTTTTATAGAAACTGATGAATTATTTTAATCCTGGCATGGACTGCACTGATTCTAGGTATAAGAGAATTTAGATTAATCCAGTGCAGCGTAAGAACTTACTTTTGGAATTATTTTTGGTTGCTCTGTGTTGAGGTCTCCCAATAAAATAAAACATTTTCAGTTCTTCTTTGAGCAGACCCCTCACACCATGTCTTGCCTTTTTTATTACTTCTATTGCATAAAGAGCTTCTCTAGACAGCACTGGTGAGGCCACTTCTGTAGTGCTGTTTCTAGGTCTGAGCTCCCCTGTACAAGAAAGGCATTGAGTTACTGGAGTGAGTCCAGGAAAGGACCATGAGCAGAATTAAGGGACTGGAGCATCTTTCATGTGAGGAGCGGTTGAGAAAGCAAACAGTCTTCTGTGTGAAGAAGAGAAGGCTCTGGAGAACTTTATCAGTGTGTACAAATAACTGATGGGTTGGAATGAAGATGAGGGGCTCCTCTCAGTAATATCCAGCAACAGGACAAGAAGAACATATTATAACATGTGAAATTCCATCAGAACATGATAATTTTTTACTGTGGTAATGGTCAAACAGTGAAATAGGTAGCTCAAAGTGATTGTTAAATCTTCTTCTCAGAAGATACTCAAAATAAGTCTTGACTCTGGGAGGCCCTAGGGCAGAGTGTCAGACCAGGTGATCTCAAGATCACCTGAAGGGACTTCCCTGTGAGAAGGGACTCCTCCTCACCTCAGCCATTCTGTGGTTCTGTGAGGTGGATGTGACAGCCCTTAAGTATCTATTCTACTTTATTTATGTGGTGTCTTTTCACAATTATGGATATGTAAGTTGCATACTGTAATGAAGCTGGATGATTTTCACCCTGGAATAAGTCACATTTGGGTCTTTTTTATTACCTTAATCAGCAAAAATACATATACTATTTTAACCTGCCCCTGTGATCATCTAGGGATTAATCTGACATCACATAACTAATTTTATGCAATTTCACATTACAATTCCTGAAACTTACCATGATAAATTAGAAGCTTTTTTCCTGTTTGCATCTCTAAATTGATAAGCCCTTTCATCTTATGTACAGTTGTTCATACAAGCTGAGATCTGTTGGAAGGTCTGACTTCCTTCTTTGAGCAGTGTCATTGATTCATGCCTTCAGTGGTGTCTGAACAGGATGCCTCTTATGTCACCATCTCTAAGGCAGCCCAGCACTGTCAGGCTTTCATAGTTTGTCTGCTGTCATTTGTTGATGCTGAGGATGTTTAAATCTATGCAGAAACCTCCTGAAGGACTACGCAAAGCCTTTCGTACCTGGCAGCCAGATCTGGAGTACTCAAGGCCCACTGTAAGCAGAAGAACTTTAGAATAAACATTTGTAGGGGTATGTTTCAAATTTAACAGGTGTTTGAGAAGCTGATTTGGTACACCTGGGAGTTAATCAGAGCTTTTGCTTTTAAGTTGCCTGAATTTTATGGCAAAAACATGACGAAAATCTCTCAAGACATAAGGAGAAACAATCAGCTGTCTGTACTACGTAGGGGAAGTTTTTAATAATGGCTGAAAACACTGCAAAGTGCACTCATCCGCTTTTTAAATTCAAAACACTGTTTTAAAGAATATTTCTTGTTGTTATTTTTCTGGATTTGTGTTATAATCTACTTTGCTGGTGAGAAAGAGACAAGTTTACAGCCTTGTAAGTAGGCATTTCCAACACCACACATTATTTGCAACTCTGCAACACAATTTTCTTAATTTCAGGCCACTTAGTCTGACCATATAGCCCCAGAATATGAGAAAGCAATTTTCATGCATTCTTAAAACCTGTTTTCGGACAAAAAAAGAGCTCACCAACTTAATCCTGATGAATCACAAAATTCTGTCTGGTTTTGAGGGGGCTTAATTCTATTCCCCATGCTCAGATTTCCACAGTACCAAAATGAATTCTAGAACTTCCTTATTTTGTCTGCACAATGTAGGAGAGTAAGGTATACCCTTCTTTGTTGAGTCTTAGATATGTTTGCTCAGACAGGAATGTTTTGAATGAGGAATAGTTTAAAATGCTTCATTCATCTTCAGTGATAAAATTGGCATGGAAATGTAAAACACTGTCAAGGAGAAGAAGAGCACACCTTGTTGTAGAGGACCATTGTGCTCTGCAGTTGAGTTGCTTTCACTAAGTTCTTCTCAACTGCCAGATATTTTCCAGGGGAAAAAAATGGGATATTTATATAATGTAGGTTTCATGTTGTCTCAGGACAGTGTGAGAGAGAGAGAGATCCAACCATTGAATGCTGTCCAGGATTTCAGGGAAAAACTATGTTGCAAGTATTTACTTTCTCTTCTTCATCACCCTTAGATATTTCTATAGCTTTCAGTAATTTAAGAAGTGTTGAGCTGGCCTCTATGAGTGGTGATTATTGGATATTATGCTGTGGCTCTGAATCTCTCGGAAATATCTGTGCTACTAGAAGAGTTTGTGGATAATATATCTATTCTTTGTACCTAATTTTGTCTTGGCTTCTATTTTATACCCCTTTTGTAGCATGTAAACATGATGTTTTACAAGTTAAGAAATCAAAGGAAGAAAAAGTCTTCTGTTCCATATACAGGAGGAACTTGAGTTGAGGTTGCTTAAAATTATTCTTTCTTTCAATCCTCCTTACTCATTGGGAATCTTAGGAATATGTAACTCTGAAACAGTTAAAGGAGAAATATCTCTCAGCAGGAGACACAACAGCTTATTTTCCACCCTTGTGTGACATGACTAATTCTTGTTACTAAGGGATCCAAGCAAATTTCAGTGGCTTTCACCTGTTGTAATGAGCTACAGTCAAACCTCCTTTTCTGGTGAGCCATAAAAACATGATGTAATTAATGTTGTGACCTACAGGCAGATGGTCAGACCCACCTCAAAGCATTGACAGCCTACTTGCTGGAAAGCAAATAGGAATCTCTACACAAAGATGTGTGTTTCCTTCTTTATGGAGTAACAGTAATTATTGTCTTATCTGGATGCAGCACTGAATGAAAGTGCAGTGAACACAACAGTGAAAGTATGTTAACAAATGTTTATAAGGTGCTTCTGAAGCCAGGAGTCTTCAAGTTCAATGATTTTAGCATGAAAAGGGAGCTGTTTTAACAGAACTCTAGGAGGTGTCCTGCCAGATATGAGTAATGGAATTTGATGTACAAGCACATTGTCCACAGCAGCATGTCACAGATTTGGGTCTCTCATTCCTTTACTGATGGAACAATCTGAATCTCCAAGCAGCTGCCCTGAAGGACCTCCCACCATATTTCATGGTGTGGTTGTGCTGGTCAGGTGTCATAACATATGTGAAGCCATTAAAATTAAAATAAGTATATTGACCAAACTGCTTCCATTCCATTACAATTGCAAGAGCTGGAGTT